TAACTATAAATTTGGCGTATTTGATGTTAATCGTGATATTTCTTTCTTCCACAACATGCTTTAAAACGGATTATCTTCACAAATTCCAACTATGGATGCCAAAAAGATTTTTCGTCCATTTATTGAGTTGTAAAATCTTTGAATTTTTTGAACTCTTACTCTAGAAATGAAATATTATATTAATACGAGTTCAATCTATGTTACAAAGTTCAAAAATTCTAAAAACTCTCAAATTTTATATATGTCATGAATTCTTATGAAATATCTTATAAATGCCCTAAAATATGGTAAATAATAATCAAAACTAATAGGAGATGTTTCCAGCTGTGGAAAATATTATATCATAAGAAAAGGAAAATACTGGCAAAGATCCGTCTAATTTTGATTGCACATATAGAAGAATGGTGATATATTGTTCCATAGAGCTAATGTTCAAAATATGAAAGGGAGAAGTGTTTTCACGACTCCACCACCCAATAATATACATTTATCTAACTTTTCTTGGATTATGCTGATAGTCCAAGAATAATTAATCAAGAGAGGGTGAATTGATTTTTAATTTTTTTTTTTCAAAAAATAGACTTAAATCAACCAAGTTAAGTACACGTTGATCAATTAATGATTATAAGCAAATAAAAGCAAATAGATCAATCAAATATAAATATAAATGAAATAATTATAGGTAAAAGGGTAAAGAGAATGCAAACGATATAATTGTACATGTTCGATCCAAATCAATGATTTACATCATTTGTTACAAAGCTATCTGACCCCACGAGGAAGGCATTTTTACTATATTGATTAATTTATAGTACAATCCAACTTTTTACAATGCTTTCAACGACTTACGAATAAGGAGCACAAATTCTTATATAATATTGAGTTTTACGAGATATCAATATAACTCATACTACTGAGTTTTAAGGAACCTCAATATAGCACATAAATTTAAAAATGAATGATTTTACAATTTAAAACTTTTCTTTAAGGAACCTCAATATAACCCATAAATTTAAAAATGAATGATTTTACAATTTGAAACTTTTTTCTTAATAAATAATATACACAAATTAAGTACAAAGAGATAAATGGGCTAACACTTAAATGAATAGCAATTAATGGAGTTCAAATATTAGATCAGATAACTTTGATCAAAAATATGATTTTCAAAAGTTGATTCAATCAATCAATAGTCTTCAAAGTAAATGTTTGAAGAATTAAATAAGGTGTAAGCTCAAAGAGTTTTGTCCAAATATTTTTTATTTTAATGCTCTTAAAACATGTTATAATGAATTCAAAAATTAAAGGTATTTATAGAGTTCAAAATGTAAAAAAATTTGTAGGTTCAGATGACTCGTCAGGTTTACCGTCTTTTGTCCGGATGACTAATGTAGTCGGTTGTTTAGTAAAAATCAAGGATAAGATCGATCAAATTTTGAATCGTTGGAGACTTCCGCTCAACCGTCTCTTCCAGCCGGTCAATTTCCCAATAGTTTCAATTATTTTACATTTTGGCCCCGATTCGAAGGTTTTGAAAAGCATAAACTTTTGGAAAGTATTTTTAACTAACTTTTCAAGATAAAAGATATTTTTCAAGTTCAATGGAAAGTATTTTTAACCAACTTTTCAAGATAAAAGATATTTTNTCCAGCCGGTCAAATTGCCCAATAGTTTCAATTATTTTACATTTTGGCCCCGATTGATCCGATTCGAAGGTTTTGAAAAGCATAAACTTTTGGAAAGTATTTTTAACTAACTTTTCAAGATAAAAGATATTTTTCAAGTTCAAATATTATTTTAAAAGTAATTTTTATATTTGATCAAAACATTGCATTATAATGATTTTGAATGAACAAAATTGTTTTCAATGCATAGAAAAATTTTGAGTTTAAGCATTCATTACCAAATATCAAAGTTTTAGCACATTTACACTTTATCTAAGAAATCGAGTTTTTTTATTTTGCTTCGAAGTTTGACTATTAAGTTCAGGAATGTGTGACTTCAATCTTGACCTCGTTCATGAATCCGAATTGTGATGATAACTTTTGATCTTTTGACGATCATAGATCAATTTTTCATCGTATGCTTAGAAAAACTGTAATTACTTGAATTCAACTTGTTAGTAAATATGATTAACTTTTTTGTTATCATTAAATCTCTTAGGTTATAATGAACCATTGATCCAACATATGCAATAAAATTTAGAAAGTGGTATTGTTGTTTATCCAGTGGGATTGTTGTTTATCCATATTATCGGTGGGATTTTACATTTTGACGTGAATGGTGGACCTAGTCTAAATTCAAAATTTTGATACTTACACAATGATTATTACGTACATGTGGTAGTAGGGGCGGCACAGCCGGACCAGTTGTCCCAATCACCAAATGCAGCAAAATGATTTTCCACGTCTAAATCTCTTTTAGTTTTTTAACCATTAACCACTAAACCTAATCTGTAATCAAATTGCATATTTACTTTGAACAATTGCCTCTCGAGATATAACATTTTTTGTTCCAAAGGACTTGTACCTTCGTCTCAAAAGAACTAACGAATTGAACTTTTCTGATTTAATTTGAATAACAATATAAGAAACGCATAATTATGGAAGAGATAACATCAAGAATGAAAGTGATAAGACGATCTCAAAATTAGACTATATTACTGAAAAAGAAAGCTACGAAAGGTTGTAAATGTTCAAAATAAAATATAAGAATATTAAAGAAAAGGTGAGAAACAAGAATGAAATGTTACAACTCTATGGAAGAAAGGGCATGCCTCTTGAGCCAAAATTCTTTACTACAAGGATATTGATATTGGCTTTATTTGATATTAAATTTAATTATTTAAAACCTTGGGCTATATTATGGACCTCACTACATGGGCTTACCTTAACAAGTACATAGGTCCAAATCTATTCTTATGGTATAAAGTCCAAACCCATCTTCCTTTACCATTTCTTTCTCATCATTACACGAAGACAATTTCTTCATCCAAACCCAACATTATTCACAACCTATCGCTAAATTGTTCACAAATCTTTTAGCCAAAATAATATGTTATGTTACTGAGTTTCAAATAGATATCCTAATTTTCATTCTCTTCGCGTTCTTGCTTCCTTCTTTTCCTCCTTCAAGGCATAGAATAAAAAATGGAGCACGAGGGAGGATATCACAAATGATTTCGAGTACAATTTTGATTACCTCTTTCATAATCCTCTCTACAGGTAGAATTATAACGGCATTGGAACTAATTGTTGACCAACGTAGAAAATTTCTGAAACGTGGCTTGTCCAAGGCAAGTGGAAAGAAGGGATAAAATTTTTTCATCCATAAAAAATGGCCTTTCAAATCCTCTTGACCATTATCCTACCTCAATAATTCTTGCTAAGAAAAATGTCCACCTAGAAAGTAATGAGTTACTCCTAAAGCACGTCCTTATAAGACTTTCCCTAAATAGCAGTACACCATGGACGAATGTTCACTTCCTAACCTTTCGCCAACCTTACCATTCTGATTCTTCTCTTTGATCTTTCCCAACTGATAACTGAACTCAAAAGTTCATTACAATTTGAGCCCTCCATTTAGATCTGTTCATTCGACACGCAGAAAAGCTAACCCAGTAGCTTTGTTGGCAAGTTATTAGATTACCAAGTCATATTTTTCCTTGAAACAAAATAATAGACATGAGCAAACTTTAATAAAATGTATAGCCACCAACTTAAACAAAAAATGAAGTTCAATGGCCAACATAAAATTCGAAAACACCGTTGCACCCCTTAACTGGTCGAATAAATATTCTATTCTTGGTAGTGGGTATCTATTTTTGATAGTCAGTTGGTTCAACTCTCGATAGTCAATCAACATCATCATACTTCCATCTTTCTTCTTCACAAAAAGTACTGGATCATCCCAAGGAGAGACACTCGTTCGAATGAAACCTTTTTCCAGCAACTCCTCCAATTATAACTTCAATTCTTGAAATTCTTTTGGTGCCATTCTATACGGGGCCTTAAGAAACTGGTGTCGTGCCGGGAACCAAGTTAATTGTAAATTCTACTTGCCTATCTTGTGGAATGCTTGACAAATCTTCTGGGACTACATCTGTAAAGTCTTGCACAACATTGATATCATTAACGGTTGTTTCGTATGTGTGGAACCGATGATATTAACTAAGAATCCTTGGCATGATTCATTTCTCAACATATTCTCCTCTTGTAAAACCGATACAATGCGAGGTAGAGACTTGAACCTTGCTCCAAAGAAACAGAACTCTTCTTTTCCCCGTTTGTGAAACAACACTTCTTTCTCGTGACATCAAATGGTCGCATGATTGATTCCCAACCAGTCCATGCCTAGAATAATGTCGAAGTCTTTCATCTCTAAAGGTATAAGTCTGCCAACAGTACCTTTCCATCAATCTCTAATTTTATCGCCTTAGTAATTTGATTTGTGCAAAGAGTTATTCCCGAAGAGATGCTAACCTCTAATTCATTATCCATTTTCACACATGTAAAGTTAGACCTAATGGCGAA